TGGGCTTAATGAATGGTTATGTCTATTCCGAACCAGTGCATCCAAGGGTTACAACTGGTGTGAACCATTGCACATGTTGCGAACCAGTGCCACTGAAGCATCACGTCCATTGCGAAAGGCACTTAGTAGCCTATAAAAACCCTGTATATCATTTGGCAAATCACACTAATTCAGAATCATCTTACAGATTTCTGAATTCTTCTTCTTCTCTCTCTCTTTAGCTGTATACATATATGTAGTGTTAGTGTGTCAATTCGAGTCTAGTTCAGAAAGTACTCAATCGAGCCGGTTCGCCCATTTCTCTGGTTTGCAGTTCTACTACCAAAGAAAAGAAATGTCATTGTATCTTGGGAAATAGACGCCACTGAGTCCGTCAGCACCATAGCGGAGCGAATCTATCTTAAAGAGATAGAATCCAATTATAGACTCGACTAATTAACAGGTTCTTTTATATAGTTTTATTTTATTTTATTATATATATATATATATATATATATATATATATAACTATATTTTATTTGAAAATTCTATATATATTATTGTTTTATAATAATAATTATATATATATATATCTACACACACATTATATTTTACATAATATTTGAATAGTAATACTATAATATATGGTACACTTAAATTATTTTTGGACAACAATCTTAAGACTGATTCTCCTTACTATAATATTGTTTTTTAATTATTATTGTTGGTATATCATATTTTGGTGAATTGAATTGTGGTTTGTATATATTTCATATATAACAAACGAATGGCAAGTATGAGTATAACTGTGCCTAATGTTCCCGTCTATCATTGGGAGAAGCTCGAAAAATTTAATGGAGTGGAGTTTAAAAAGTGGCAACAGAAAATGATGTTCTACCTTATAACTCTGAATTTGAGCAAGTTCCTAACTAAGATTGCCCCAGTGTTACAAGAGGGTGAGACTGACATTACAAAAGTAGGAGCTGTTGATGCAAGGAAGTAAGGATTTCCTATACAAGAACTACATCTTCAATGAATTGGACAACACGTTATATAACGTGTATAGTCTGATCAATACTGCTAAAGAGTTATAGGAGTCACTAGACAAGAAGTATATGACAGAGGACGCTGGTTTGAAAAAATTTGTGATCAAATGATTTATGGACTTCAAAATGGTGGACTTCAAGATTGTTATGAGCTAAGTGCAGGAGCTTTAACTGATCCTATATGAGATACATGCTGAAAATATGGCTTTAAGTGAATCTTTTCAAGTGGCTTCAATCCTTGAAAAATTGCCACCTACTTGGGAAGATTTCAAAAATTACTTGAAGCATAAGCGCAAGGAAATGGGGCTCGAAGACCTGATTGTCAGGCTAAGGATTGAAGAAGATAACCGCATATCTAAAAAGAAATTCAAGAATTCTTCAATGGAGATAGAATCCAATTCTAGACTCAACCGATTAACTCGTTCTTTTATATAGTTTTATTTTATTATATATATAGGGAGACGTATTTTATTTTATTCAACGTTTGCACTTGTGACGGCCTTGGTTTTACAAACCCAATGCGTCCTGCGATGACCCGTGAGATGACCCAAAATGGATTCGGAATGCAGAAACGAAAACAAAGTCAAGGTCTATAGAGATGTATTACATCTCTAAGACGCCAAAGCGACCTTTCACTAGGTCATGGAACTCAACGAGAACGAAAACGGAAGCAAAAGACTGAAAATAGACCAAGTGTGCCCCCAAGGGAAAAATGGTCTTTTCACACGAAAACGAAGTCTTGAGAGATGTACGACATCCCTAAGACACAAGCATGGCTTCCCATGAAGCCACAAAACTTAAAAGAAAATAAATGTGGAAGCGAAAGAGTGAAAATAGATCAAGTATACCTCCAAGGGTAAAATGGTCTTTTCATGCCAAAATAAGGTCTCAGGAGATGTACGTCATTCCCAAGATATAAGCGTGACTCCCCATGAAGTCACAGGACTCAAAGAAACAAAGTGCAGAAGCGACGTTTCAAAAAAAAAAAAATGGACAACTTTAGCCCTAGGGGAAAAATAGTAATTTTTGAAAAGATCCAAGAGCAATCGAGCACACTGTTGGATAGATGGCAAAAAAATTAACGAAGTTAGACTCAAGAATCACTTGATTCAGAGTCTTGACGGAAGAGAATGGTTGAAAACGAAATCGGGCGTCGTCAAGGCCAAAAGGGGCCAGCCAAGGCAGCCCCCATGCACGCGCGGGCGCGCCATGTGAAAACAAAATTGGGCATTGTCGTGGCCAAGAGGGGGCAGCCCCCAGGCATGCGCTGCACGTGCGGGTGTGCGGCATGCACAGGGGGTGCCTTGGTGCACGCTTGGCCGTGATGAAGCCTCATTTTGTTTTCGTTCTTTCTCCTCTATCCAGACTCCGAATCAAGTGATTATTGAGTCTAACTTCATTAATTTTTTGTTATCTATCCAATGGTGTACTTGATAGCACCCATAACTTTTTTTAAATTACAATTTTACCCCTGAGGCTAAACTTGTCCATTTTTAAAAAGCCGCTTTAACATTTTGTTGTCTTTTAAGTTCTATGACTTCATGGGAAGTAATGTTTGTATCTTAGGGATACCGATTATCCCCATAGACTTTGTGTTTTGTTTTCGCTTCCGCATTCTGGATCCGTTATCGGGTCACATTGACATATTCGGGTTTGTGAAAATTCAGAACGTCACAGCATTACAATCTTAAATGAAATGACAATTCTAACTCTAACTTTACAAGTAAATAATTATTACCTTTTAAATGACAAAACTATCATTTTAGATTTCTTCTCCTTATATCTAATCTTTATTATTTTAGGTTTCTTTTGACAAGACAAAAAAGAAATTGAATAAATTTTTTTTTTTAATAGGACCAAGAAATAAATATTTATGTTGAATAAATTGACTCTTTTGACCGGACAAAGAAAATAAAAAGTAACCATTAAAAAAATTATGTCTTTTGACATGAAAGAAAAAACCCCGAAAAAAAAATATTTATTATCAACATCCCAAAAAAAAAAATAAAAAAGTATGTAAAGAGGATTATATATTTATTTATTTATCTAAATTGAATAAATTATCTCTTTTGCTAAGACCCAAAAAAGAAAAAAGAAATTATTTCTTTTGATAGGACCCATAAAAAATTATTAAAAAAAAAAGTTACCTCTTTTGACTGGAAAAAAATTAACTTTGTTGAATAATATCCCTTTTGTACCCAAAAAAAAAAAAAAAAAAAAAAGTATGGAATAAATTATTTTCTTTGAGAGGAACTTTGGAAAAAAATAAATAGAAAGGAAAAAAAATAGTAAAGAAGGTAAAAAAATATTAAAGTTGTATAAAGGGTAATTATGACATTATAAATTAAGGGATAGTGTATTAATGAATTGAGGGCCTTCTTATCATTTCCTATATATATATATATATATATATATATATATATATATATATATAACTATATTTTATTACATAATATTTAAATAATAATACTATAGTATATGATACACTTAGATCATTTTTTAGCAACAAATCATAACAAGGAGTATACTTTAATCAATTTGTGTTAAAACTTTAAGTATTATATATATAGTATATAATATTTGTATATATATTGTATAAGTATCAAAAGTTGAAGATAATTATGAAAATATAACATTTGCTTTGTTGGACTTTTCAAATAAAACACTAATTTGAGTATTTCAAAATGAAAAAAAAAAAAAAAAAAAATAGACTACTGACACGTGAGAAGGTGAGGTGAAGTACTGCAAGACAAGAGTCAAATGAGTGTGGGACCACCAATTGAAAGGCCAAATATGAAATGGTTATGGATCAGTAAAGCTTGGTCGTCCAGTCTAATTCCCATTAAGAAAAGTGAACCCACACATATATTACAAAAAAATATATAAACATTATTTTGATTGGTTTGAACCACCTGTGCCAATAATTCATGATCTAATTATTTCTCCAATTATTATTAGTCACACAGCTAGTGAAATGAATAAATAACTAATTTCTCCAATAATTTTTGTAGTATTCTAAAAAAACAAGCGGCCTAGGCCGGGCTGGCCGGCTGGATTTGACCCTGATTATTATGGAACTAATCAAATTTACTAGACTAAATTAATTGCACGTTTCACATGCTGACGCACCACCACCTGCTCTGGGGATGTATAATTAAGTAGGTAAAAAAGTGAGAAAGGATCAGACTTTGACAAGTTTCTGATTTCGCTTTTCTATGGGTTTCTCAATTAATATTGAATGAAAAACACACACCCCATCGTGTGAAACATTGATTAAACCATCAAATAATTAGCCATAGAGTATGTCTATGGATGCTCAATTTGTGGCTTACGCCATCTGAATAGGATCTTTAATGCTCGTAATTTTTGAAACTCCAAATGAATCAAATTTACGTATTGAACTACACACACTTTTCACCATAAGAGATGGGGAGATGTTAATAACCAATAACTCTCGGTCTCAAACTCTCATTTATATATTTATATATATATAACTAGTGAAATTTTCATGAATAAAATTAACCACGAGAAGTTATATAATCGTATCAACTTGTTATAAGAGGAGACTTGTCCCACATTAAATTCGAATAGGAAAACAATTGGATATAAATAAGTATTTATGCAGCACTACCCAACAGGTTAAACTTTTAAATAAATAAACAAGTACCTATTTATTACAGTCGGTATCATAATTAGACCTAATTCTTAATTCTGTATTACGTCAAGTACCATCTAATAATTTAAATTCCGGAGCAAATGTACAACTGTTGTGCCTTAGACTACTCTACCATTCAAATGGAAAGCGGCTACTCTACCATTCAAATGGAAGGCGGCTAGAGTCAAATGGATGTGGTGTGGGACCCCTGATTCAAATGTCAATTATGATGAGGCACAACTAGCTTTAATTACGGAGCATTACAAGGAGGCGGCCTGGGTGGCTGGTTTTGACCCTGAACTAGACTAAATTAATTGCACATTTATACAGTACTTTGCAGATTCCCATGGGGAAGAGACTGACTTAATTATTTATTTCGCTTTCATCTTGAACGCCGTGGGCCAACCAAAAAACTTTCCTATGGTTTTCTGAAATAATATTGTGAAGCATGAATAATACCATAATTCTTTTCTTGTATTCTATTTTTTCCATGCTAACAATAATCTGTGATGCAGTAGAATTAGACACCATAACTGCAACTCAATCTCTTACTGATGGGCAAACCATGGTCTCTTCAGACACAACATTTGAACTGGGATTTTTCAGCCCCTCTGGTAGTACTTCCAGGAATCGATATTTGGGAATATGGTACAAAAGATCTGTTGGGACTGTGGTATGGGTTGCCAACAGAGATACTCCAATTACTGATACATCAGGAGGAGGTGTCTTAAAGCTCACTCATGGAGGAGTTCTCATGCTTGTCAATACTACAAACAGCATCTTCTGGTCTTCGTCAAATTCATCATCATCCAGTAACAACACGGTGAACCCAGTTGCACAGCTTTTGGATTCGGGTAATCTTGTTGTCAAAGATGCAAATGCTGTGAATTTCCTATGGCAGAGTTTTGATTATCCGTGTGACACTTTGTTGCCGGGCATGAAGCTTGGAAAGAACCTAGAAACCGGAATTGATCGGCGTCTATGGTCATGGAAGTCCAGTGATGACCCTTCTAAAGGTGACTTTTCTTTTGGACTTGATCTTCGTGGATTCCCAGAATTTGTCCTCATGAAAGGTCCGGTTGAGCAATACCGTTCTGGACCATGGAATGGTCTCCGCTGTAGTGGCACGATGGGTTTAACACCAAACAGCATTTACACATACCAATTTGTTTTTGATCAAAAGGAGGTATATTATGAATTTGAGCTTATTAATAGCTCAGTTTTCTCACGGTCTGTTTTGAACCAGAATGGAATTGTACAGCGCTTGACATGGAATTATAAAACACAGGATTGGACAGTTTACACGAGTATACCAGCAGATAATTGTGATTCTTATGGGCTATGTCAGGCCTATGGTAGCTGCAACATTGGTAACTCCCCGGTGTGTAGGTGTCTTGATAAATTTATGCCAAGATACCCAAAAGATTGGGAAGCAGCAGATTGGTCAGGTGGGTGTGTTCGAAGAAAGCCCTTGGATTGCCAAAATGGATCAGCAAATGGATTTCTCAAGTATTCCGGTGTTAAATTGCCTGACACGCGGAATGCCTGGTTTGATAGGAGCATGACCCTCAAGGAATGCGAGATGGTATGCTCAAAAAACTGTTCTTGTATGGCTTATGCAAATATAGATGTAACAGCAGGAGGAAGTGGTTGCTTGCTCTGGTTTGTTGACTGGATTAATATTAGGGACCTCACAGAAATTGGACAAGATATTTACATAAGAATGGCCTCCTCTGAGGTAGGTATGATATATATTCAAAAGCACGTAGATGAGTAGCTTTTACATTCTGTTTTCAACAGAAAGTAGGCATTTAGAAGCTCTCACTGAAAAGTGTCCTCTTTTACTGCTGCTTTATTTCTCAGTTTTCCTGCCTTCAAATATAGTTGCTTTACATTGTGGTAAATTTTGACCGTGCAGAAGCACAGCAGCTCCCATGTAAAGGGACGATTGAAGATTATTATCATTCCTATATTACTTGCAGCAGTGGTACTCCTAGGCCTGTTCTTTCTGTTGTATTTCTTAAGGAGGAAGCTGAAGAGAGTAGGTAAGATATCTAGAACACTGAAATTACTTCCCTTTCCTATTTAGCAAAGAAAACTACAAATTCTTACCCCATTTTTAGTTAGATTCCAAGTTCCCATTTTATGTCTTTCTCATGTCTTGTCGGCATCAAATGTCAAGATTTTCAAATTTATTTCCCTTGCCACTTTATCTTGGTTGTGTGTGTGTGTGTGTGGCTTAATCATAATACTTTCCCTTGGGCTTACCTGAATGTGTGTGTGCGGGGCTTAATCATAATACTTTCCCTTGGGCTTACCTGAATTTTTTAGGATGACTATAGAGAAATAGAGAAGTTGTTTGTCATGAAGGTGTGTAGTTGTCTGTTTTGAAAACATTTGTTGAACACCACCTAACCTTCACCTAATTTAAAAGTTTGAGCTGCTAGAAAGGGTAAAAGTTGAATATTTAGATGTTGGTTTTTGCTCTGATACAACTTTCTGACTTTGCTGTGATACCACTTTGTTGAAAATAGTGGGCTATACAAACAAATACAACTATATAATTTGAGAGAGAAATGGAGGAAGAAATATATTATCACTTATTCCTTAATAAAATTGCTAGAGTACATGATTATAGACCTTGAGAACACATATCTATGAATTACGTATAAATTAATGCCCATAACTCTCATTTCTCCCACTAACATAATCTTCAATAGGCATAACTCTCACTAATATAGTATTTATTAGGCTCAACTCTCATGACTTTTGATTTTACATAACCTTAACTCCCACTAAGACAATTTACTACCCACTAACATATATGCTAAATTCACACATACATCATAAAGATATAAAAATACTTGAAAATACTAAATACTAAAATACTAAAATCAAATACTTAACAACATTAAAATGATTTATTAAAATAAAAAAACATGGATGTACTTGGCAACATCAAAATCTACAAAGATCATAAAGCATGGATATACTTAACAACATCAAAATCGCCGATAACCAAAACCACAAGTCACAATATAAACATGATTGCTAACTTGGAATTGAATGCGAAAATAAATAATAGAAAACTTGGACATCTAGACTCGGAATTCTGCCGAGATCAATGGTTGTTCCGGGCACTAACCCGCCGGGAAAACCACCCTAAGTGCGTACTATCTCAATTGGAGAGAACTCATACTTCCCGCACTAAAGTCGAACTTTAGCCATATCATACTAACCATGTCCCAAGTGACTCCAAAATAAATAAATTAACAACTAATATATATATGAAACCCCATCCCATGCACAAGTAGTTTGTAACCACACAATACATGCTCCAAATCCACAACTACTATAGGATGACAAATGTCGAATCTTCAGAGCACAATGCGTTACGCACTATAATAACATCACATGTCGAATCTTCAGTGTGCGATTCGTTACACGCTATAACAAGATAATCCAATATTGGAACGTAATCTCATAAATTCATTTCAAGTCTAAAATCATGCTTTAGATATACAATCAACATCAAACACATGATTTAAATCCATAATGCAATAGAAACGGAATTTAATCAAGTAAACTAATTAATTCCTCTAAGTTGCAATTCTCAACCAAATGGCCTCAAATTACACATGTTAGCAACATAGCATGGTCATTGCATATACAAATTCCAAAACTTGATTAGGCCAACTGAATAACAAAATGGAATTTAATTAAATCATGATAATCAAATGCCTAAATTCTAAAACAACATAAAATGGTCCCATATTAACATATACTAGTATACAAGTCCTACTCATCTCAAATATCAAGTCAAAACTTAATTAAGCTAAAGGAACATTAAATAGATTTTAATTAATCATTTTAATTAAAGTCTCTAGATTTTCAAATTTATCCAAATGCTCTCAAATTTAAGTATGTTAAACAACATGCCTAGACTTAATTTAAAAGCATGCTACAAGTCAATTTCATGCAAGGTACATCCATGTAAATTTAATCTTGTACAAAGAATTAAATATTATTAATTTTCTAGATTTGATACAAGTCATGCAATCAAGTTGTATAATCATGGAAAACACCCCATACAACACATACAAAATCCTAAAACATCCCATACCTCAATTGGAATGAAAATCCCAATTACCACCGAAGTGAAATCGCCCCAAATTTTTGGTCCGCAAGACAGATATTTCAGCTTGTTACCTTCAACTTGGGAAAATTCATAAAAAATTCAATTATAATACAAATTGAATAAATCCAAAGCCCAATGAAAGCTTAAACACTGTAATTTGATAATATCAATTTATTTTAACAAAATATTTTCCCAATTAAAATAGTTTTGACCCACAACTTTGAAACAAATTCTGCAAAGAAAACACATTTTCAGCCTGTAGCTTCCAACTTTGAAAATTCATGAAAAATTAATTTGACATCCAAATTGGGTAAACCTAATTTATTTTAAAAGTAAACATATGAGAGTGTAAAAATAAAAATTTAAGCCATGATACAATGTGAAAAGGTTAGTGAAATAAATCATCTAAAAATATGTTTTCCAGCTACAACAAAAACATGGATAGCAGATAGTCTCGGATTTTTTTAAAAAATTTAGAAATGCTCTAAAATCGTGAAATTTTTTTGAGTAATGTAAAATCCATGGAGAAAATTCCAGTAAAAATTTCAAGGTAATTGAAACACCAGAGCTCCATATAAAAATTCGTTTCCAGACCGGATAAGAAAAGATTTAAATTTCCAGCAACTAGCTTGCAACTTCAAAATTTCATAACTAATTCATTTTAAATCCAAATTACATGAAACCAAAACTAAATGGAAGCTAATTGATTATATTTTCATGTTCTATATTTAATTTGACAAGATTTATTTCAAGTTAAAACAGTTTAAGGGCATAATACAAGTCCTTCTCTTCTATGCATGTAAAACACTCAATAATGACATAAAAATACTTCAAAATAATAGATCAATACCTCACTAGAGAATTGAATCTCTAGATACCAAAGCAAAACTAGGAGTTAGACTAGATCCTTCAAGGGTTTTGAAGAGGAGGATGAAGGGAATAAAACTATTCCAAGCTTTATGGTCTAAAGTAAGTGGAAGGGCCTCAAAGATTAAGGTCAATGCCTAAAGCTTCAAGCTTCATCTATGGAGGTTAGGGTTTTGTGGTGAGAAAGAAAGAGATGAAATGTGAAAATGTGTGAGTGGAGGAAATAGAAATCCTCCACTCACTATGTGATCCTACACCATGGTCAACACACACATCTATGGTCAATTGCACAAAAACCCTCCTTTAAAACCATAATCCCAAAGTGGCCCAAAGATATTTGCAAGACTAAATTGTGAACCTACACTTGTCACCAATCCATGGCTCCTTTCTAGGTTTAATCCCACACCTACACTTGTCAACCATCCTTGCCAACAAGTGCACCAATCCTAGGCCAACAAGTGGGTAAATTCTCACCCCTCCAAATGTCATCATCCAATGCATTAAAGTATTTCCACACAAATGTCAACAAGTGGACCAATGAGAGTGACACTTGTCATACTTTTCAAAAATTACAAAATGGTCCTTTTTGAAAATATCTTCCAAATTTAATTACAAAATAGTCCCCAAGATGAAAAATAATTATTTTATTTAATTACACTAAAACCCCACAAGTTAAGAAGAATTACACTAAAGTATGCATTAATGCCCATTTATAAAGGAAGTAAGCAATCAACATTCTTTTCTAGAAAGATAAAAATACCACTATCATGGAAATCAAATATCATGAATGCATGCAAGACCGGAATCAAATCCGAGCACAAAAAGTGAGGTTGTGAAAGGAAAAAGGATAAACGAGAAAAAGACAAAATGTGAATAGTGTTCGGAAAAATAAAATATGGAAATGACACAATCCCCAAAGGAAGTTGTCAATCCAAGGAAAAGAGTCTCGGAAATCATTCCAGAGCACTCGAGACAACATCAAGTGATAAAAAACCGAGCCCAAAAAGGAAAAGACAACGGGAAAAAAAAGATATCCGTTAAAATCTAAGAAAAAGAAAAGGAAGAAAAATGATCGGGTCATTACAACCTTCCTACCTTAAAGGGATTTCGTCCCCGAAATCCAGCCCCACCAAAAGAAAAAGACGAAACCAGGATAACTACGGAGTACATCTCTGAGTATCCCTCACAACATGCTACGAAAGTAATCACAAAACTGAAGACAACATACAACCCCATGTCATTCGCATCCACGTGCTCACGACAGGACAACCCCTTAGAAGAAAAGTGATCGCATGGCCACACCACAAGTCGAAACTCACACACAGAACTTAAAGCCAGACGAGGGAACGGAAGACAACAATCAAAAGCACCCCTCCTGACGAACCATCATAAGGAACCAAAAACAACCACCAACAGAACTCCAAGATATCCATGAATCAAATCAAAGTGCTAAACAAAGATGACATGGCAGTACGAATAGTGACCAGAACCTGCCCACGATGTACTCAAATGTGTGGTAGCAAAGACAATTCCTAGTGCCCGCCCACACTTACTCATCAGTAAGGTAGCATCGATGGCAACTAGCACCTGCCCATAGCACACAACTTATACGGTAGCATGACAGTATAAGGCACCAATTCATAACCTGCCCCCACTAGGTCTACCCATGAAACCTCTCGATACAAATGACGTCAATGTCAAAAATGATCATTACCAAAAGCACTACGGAAACCAACATTTTGTGAGAGTTGAGATATAGTCCAAAGATGTCCGGCCGGACCATCTTGGCCAATCCCAAAACTCTGACAATAATACCATAGGTACCGCTACGCTTAAGGCCTTAAATCCTCAATACAATAAGACCAACAATTTTAACATCTTAAAACACTACTATCAACAACATCAATTACGAATCCAAAGTCTGACAAGCAAAACAGCATCTCCAAAATCCCAGATATCATCCTAAAATAGATCAACTATAAGACTACTCACCGTACTCAAACATCGGATCAAAATCCCTATAACGGATAACTAGATCCTCGAAATACAAGTCCACGAAATGGCACACACACCCAAATCTTGACAACCAAGGTTATCAGCTAACAGTGGACATCAGACAGGCCAAGGGTGAGAAGCGGGGTGATAAAGACTCTGCTAATCAGTCAGTTGAAAAGGGAAATGGAAATGATCATCGACAGAATGACAAGGGCAAGTTCCAGGGACAGCAGCCTTAGAAGAAACACAAGAGTGGTTCAGATGATAACAGGGATGTGTCACCTATTCATGGGCAGCAGAATGGGGGACCACAGACTGGACAAGGTCAGCCACAGGCTAACAGACAGAGGAGGCCATTTGGTACTTTCCAGGGTAGTTGCTACACTTGTGGAGAGTATGGTCATACCTCCAGGTAGTGTCCTAAAACAGGACCGGGACAGGGGCAGCATGTGCAGCAGGGGCAGAGGGCGCCAGTACCTTTACCCGCTCCACAGGTACCCTGGATTCAGGGACAGACTTATCCGGTTTTACCGGCACCGCCGCAGCCTCAGGGACAGGCACCGTAGCAGTTGCACTATGGCAGGGTGTACAACCCCATGCCACAGGATAGGCAGGCACCTCAGGCTAGTGAGGGTAAGTTTCCTATTCATGATTACTAGGACGTGTTTTGTGGAGTGCCACACACTCGTTATATTTCAGTCTTTATATTTTTTTTTATCTAGGATAAGGACGAGGGTATTAGTATATCAAAGTTGGGGAATTTAAGTTGCAGCCGGATGCGACTTATTTTGAAGTCACCGAATAGTAATTAAATCCTTCGTAATAAGGTTTTTCTTTGATGCGTGTTGAGTAAAGTCATTACAATGAGGCTGAGTCCACTGGAGAATAGGAGGTTGGAATCGCTCGTAGTTTCCTAAATTATAGAAGAATGTAAGAGCGAATTCCGAGGACGGAATTCCTTTTTTTAGGGGGGGAGAATGTAATACCCCTAATTTTAAAAAGGCTATTTATGGTATTTAATTTATGATTTTTATTACATTTTTTATATTTAATGGGTTACTTGAATTAATTGACTTATTTGCTTTAATTAATTATTTGCATTATTTGCATTAATTGTGATTAATTGTGATTAATTGTTTTAATTATTTATTTGGCTTTAATTTTCATTAAATTGTATTATTTGATTTAATTACCTCATAAAATTGTTATTAATTAATTGTTTTTTTTTTTTTTTTTTTTTTTTTTTTGAATTTACTTACTTATCGTAAGTTAGGTTTACAAGTTTAGGTTTAGATTTACATGGGTAGCCGACGTTGATTATAACCTAGGTTTATCTATGGGCCGAGTTATATCTTTATGGACTTAGGGTTTCTGTAGTGTTTATATATATGTGTGTATACGTTGGTTTAGGGTTACAAATAAAACCATATTCACCATAGTCACGTATACAGTGAGATAGGGGGAAAACAGAGCGAAAGATTGAAGGGAAACACAGAGTGAACTTGGGTGGTTAGCAAAGCATCTCAAGGAGGAAGGAGCGGGGTAGCGTGGAACTACAGGGTAGGACACGAACATATCACACAGAGACGGTGAATTAGAATTTCAAATCTGAAATTCAAAGGCAAGTTCTGTTCTTCTCTCTCCCATTAATTCGTGTTCTGTGCATGACTAGTTGGACTCCAGGGGTTAAATAAAGGTTAAAACAGATTTAAACCAACATAGTAACATGTTTTATGCATACATGAATTTAGTTTAATCTTTGAATTAACATCGTGAATTATCTGCTTTGAATAATTTTTGATGTTCTGCTATTTGTATCATGTATGGTGGATGTTTCAGTTTTGTTACGGTTGGGATTAGTGATGTGATTAGATGTCTTGTAATCACTCTAAGACTGAGTTTGAACTCTAGAACAAGTGCTTAGAATAATATTCAATTGCACTAAATTAAACTGAAGTAAATTCAGTTGGAACTTGCTTAAAATTGGACAACAGAGGTTCTGTAATCATAGCTTTTAAGCTTGTGTTCCATGCATGTTTTAGTTGAATATCAGTGGTTTAATACATGCCTAGGACTGAGTTTGAACTTGAACAAAGATTTAAAAACATCTCAGAGACTCTGTAATCACCGGAGTTAGAGCAGACGAAGCTGGATCAAGCAACGGTTGCAAAGGGGAAAGGAGCAGGCTCTAAATTACCAATAGAGCCGGCTCAAAGTAGATGGAGCCCGCTCTATAAAGGACTTGGAGCCGGCTCAATGTTGAAGGAGCCGGCTCTAAGTGAATTTTAGAGCAGTCTCAATGTTTTTGTTGAGCCTGCTCTATTCTTGCCTCGCACAGTAGTGTTTTAAGGGGCTGTTTGGGTTTTCTGGGTTCTGCACTTCATTTAAATTATTTTAAGTGATGTATGGGACTGTATAAAACTGGTATTACGATGGAAAAATATAAATTCATAATTGGATTGAAGGATAGAATAAGGAGAACCTAAGAGGAAACTAGTAGCTTGCACACTGTCTAGTTGGTTTTAATTACTGTAACTTGGCAAAGATATTTTATATAATTTAATTATATATAATCATATATTTTTACAGTGTTATGAGTATGGTAAATTAATTACATTTAACTATACTTAGCTTGGATTTAAATTGGTATTTAATTTGTATCAATTTATTGGCTATTTTGGAGGATTTAAATGCTATGTCTTATTCTAGTTATTTAAATGATTGGAGCATGATATTTAGGTTCTGTAATGAATACCTAATGTTGGTATATGTATGAATTTATACAAATGCATATACTGGAGGATGGTTGTTGATTATATAGTGTTATTTTAATAACTATGTTATAATGGAGGATTGTGTGTACCGGTATGGGACGGTGACATACTAGGTTTGGATTAGTTAAACACTAAATCCTACCTAATTTGGATTAAGGTATGGATTAACCCTATGAGTTAAGTCCATCACCTACTTGTGTCATATCAATCAAATAATTGAATGACTTAATATGGTTTCAAGATGGATTTGCTTTACATTTATCAAACCACTTTTCAGATGGTTGATATTTTGTAATAGGAGGACACGGACTTTATATATTTATTATATGTGCCATGGTATGAGCTTGAGTCTCAAGACCATGGTTAGGGTGCATATACTGCCTAGGATGGATAGCTCGACAAAGGTATTGTTCCCTGGTAGGTCTAGATACACATGACCACAGTATGTGCGATTTGGATGGTATCTCTATTCAGGTTGAGACAGACCTTTTTGGACTAGTGAGTGTCCTATAGTATGTACTTATACATATATGGACTACTCTAGGTATTGTTGAGTCTTTCTAGTATGTATCTGCGTATCAGATTCCTGTTTGGATTGTAGTAGATCAGGACTTGCATGTGGGCCTGACCCACCCTTATATTTTTTAGGTACTCGTCAGTTCCAGGGTTAGAGTTTGATCGTGCAGAGCAGATACGGACTTCTATTCTACCGACAACGTAGGACTTCTTTCCAGATATTAGATTTGGATTTTATCTTCAGTTTTCTTCCATGCAGTTTGGGATTTTATTAGGGGTCCACTAGAGATGGATTCCCGAGTTGTTAAACTTATAGAGTTTGGATTGTCAAGATTTAAATATTTATATTTGAGGATTTATTTTAGTTTCTTTCCTCTCATTATATTATTTCTTTAATCACTTTGTATTCCGTGTTCGTTTTTAAAATATTAATTGTCTGATATCCCTCGGATTTGGGCTTGGGCCTGATCAACCTGTGTCTTGGATCCGAGGGGTATCACAGTTGGTATCAGAGCACTCCAGGTTCAAATGTCTCTAGGATTTTATCGTATAAGACTTCCGCGTAGCGTTATCTCTTTATTAGAGCTTAAATTTAGGATTCGTTGTATTCTTTATGGTCCTAGTATATCGTACTGATGTCTGATTTTATATGTTAATAGCATGGTTAAAGCAAGAACCAGACGTAACAATCATCGTCAAAGGGAGGAGGCACGTAGGCAGCAAGATTTCTTACGACGTCAGCAAATGGAGGAAGAGCAGCGAATGCCTGGGTTTCAGGATGTTGAAGGTCAGTTTCGTAATGAGCAGGAGGAAGTTCAGCAGACTCTGGGTCAGGTCAGAGATCCAGAGATTCCTCCTCACCTCAATGACCTTGTTGCTCGGGCTATAGAGGCTGGGGTAACAGCTGCACTTCGGAATCAACCAACGGTTCAGCAGGCACCTATACCAGCACCGGTTGTTTAGACTAATACTTGGGAGACGGTTAAGAGTTCTTTCACAAAGGGGAGTCCACCTGTGTTCTCAGGCTCCACCGATGCGAAAGCAGCTTACCAGTGGAAACGGGACATTGAGCGTCATCTTCGCTTGGTTCAGTGCACGGAGGTTCAGAAGCAGATGCTTGCTACCTTCAAGCTGGTTGGGGATGCACTATAGTGGTGGGAGTCCGTTACCACTATAAAGGAGAGGATGACATTGAGTTATGATCAATTCAGTACTCGCTTTGATGAGAAATATTTTCCCTATGCAGTCAGGGCAGCTATGAAGACTGAGTTTCTAAATCTGCAGCAGGGGAACATGACGGTGGCAGAGTATGAGCAGCAGTTCACACGCTTATCTCTGTTTGCTCCGGAGGAGCTGGATACGGAAGAAAAAAAGCGTAATAGTTTTGTGAAGGGACTGATGTGGTCGATTAAGCAAGCTATTATAGGCAGTCCAGCTTACATTACCTATGCTCAGGTGGTAGACGCCGCTTTGCATTAGTATCAGCTGACAGTAGACATCAGACAAGCCAAGGATGAGAAGCGGGGTGATAAAGACGCTGCTAATCAGTCAGTTGAGAAGGGAAATGGAAATGATCATCGACAGAATGACAAGGGCAAGTTCCAGGAACAGCAGCCTTGGAAGAAACACAAGAGTGGTTCAGATGATAACAGGGATGTGTCACCTATTCATGGGCAGCAGAATGGGGGACCACAGACTGGACAAGGTCAGCCACAGGCTAACAGATAGAGGAGGCCATTTGGTACTTTCCAGGGTAGTTGCTACACTTGTAGAGAGTATGGTCATACCTCCAGGCAGTGTCCTAAAGCAGGACAGGGATAGGGGCAGCATGTGCAGCAGGGGCAGAGGGCGCCAGTACCTTTACCCGCTCCACAGGTACCCCGGATTCAGGGACAGACTTATCCGGCTTTACCGGCACCGCCGCAGCCTCAGGGACAGGCACCGCAGCAGTTGCACTATGGCAGGGTGTACAACCCCATGCCACAGGATAGGCAGGCACCTCAGGCTAGTGAGGGTAAGTTTCCTATTCATGATTACTAGGACGTGTTTTGTGGAGTGCCACACACTCGTTATATTTCAGTCTTTATATTTTTTTTTTATCTGGGATGAGGACGAGGGTATTAGTATATCGAAGTTGGGGAATTTAAGTTGCAGCCGGATGCGACTTATTTTGAAGTCACCGAATAGTAATTAAATCCTTCGTAAAAAGGTTTTTCTTTGATGCGTGTTGAGTAAAGTCATTACAATGAGGCTGAGTCCACTGGAGAATAGGAGGTTGGAGTCGCTCGTAGTTTCCTAAATTATAGAAGAAGGTAAGAGCGAATTTCGAGGACGGAATTCCTTTTGTTAGGGGGGGAGAATGTAATACCCCTAATTTTAAAAAAGCTATTTTTGGTATTTAATTTATGATTTTTATTACATTTTTTATTTATTTAATGGATTACTTGAATTAATTGACTTATTTGCTTTAATTAATTATTTGCATTATTTGCATTAATTGTGATTAATTGAGTTAATTGTTTTAATTATTTATTTGGCTTTAATTTTCATTAAATTGTATTATTTGATTTAATTACCTGATAAAATTGTTATTAATTAATTGTTTTTTTTTTTTTTTTGAATTTACTTACTTATCGTAAGTTAGGTTTACAAGTTTAGGTTTAAATTTACATGGGTAGCCGACGTTGATTATAACCTAGGTTTATCTATGGGCCGAGTTATATCTTTATGGACTTAGGGTTTCTGTAGTGTTTATATATATGTGTGTATACGTTGGTTTAGGGTTACAAATAAAACCCTATTCACCATAGTCACGTATACAGTGAGATAGGGGGAAAACAGAGCGAAAGATTGAAGGGAAACACAAAGTGAACTTGGGTGGTTAGCAAAGCATCTCAAGGAGGAAGGAGCGGGGTAGGGTGGAACTACAGGGTAGGACATGAACATATCACATAGAGACGGTGAATTAGAATTTCAAATATGAAATTCAAAGGCAAGTTCTGTTCTTCTCTTTCCCGTTAATTCGTGTTCTGTGCATGACTAGTTGGACTCCAGGGGTTAAATAAAGGTTAAAACAGATTTAAACCAACATAGTAACATGTTTTATACATACATGAATTTAGTTTAATCTTTGAATTAACATCGTGAATTATCTGCTTTGAATAATTTTTGATGTTCTGCTATTTGTATCATGTATGGTGGATGTTTCAGTTTTGTTGCGGTTGGGATTAGTGATGTGATTAAATGTCTTGTAATCACTCTAAGACTGAGTTTGAACTCTAGAACAAGTGCTTAGAACAATATTCAATTGCACTAAATTAAACTGAAGTAAATTCTGTTGGAACTTGCTTAAAATTGGACAACAGAGGTTCTGTAATCATAGCTTTTAAGCTTGTGTTCCATGCATGTTTTAGTTGAATATCAGTGGTTTAATATATGCCTAGGACTGAGTTTGAAGTTGAACAAAGATTTTAAAACATCTCAGAGACTCTGTAATCACCGGAGTTGGAGCAGACGAAGCTGGATCAGGCAACGGTTGCAAAGGGGAAAGGAGCAGGCTCTAAATTACCAATAGAGCCGGCTCAAAGTGGATGGAGCCGGCTCTATAAAGGACTTGGAGCCGGCTCAATGTTGAAGGAGCCGGCTTTAAGTGAATTTTAGAGCAGGCTCAATGTTTTTGTTGAGCCTGCTCTATTCTTGCCTCGCACAGTAGTATTTTAAGGGGCTGTTTGGGTTTTCTGGGTTCTGCACTTCATTTAAATTGTTTTAAGTGATGTATGGGACTGTATAAGGCTGGTATTACAATGAAAAAATATAAATTCATAATTGGATTGAAGGATAAAGCAAGGAGAACCTAAAAGGAAACGGGTAGCTTGCACACTGTCTAGTTGGTTTTAATTACTGTAACTTGGCAAAGATATTTTATATAATTTAATTATATATAATCATATATTTTTACAGTGTTATGAGTACGGTACATTAATTACATTTAACTATACTTAGCTTGGATTTAAATTGATATTTAATTTGTATCAATTTATTGGCTGTTTTGGAAGATTTAAATGCTATGTCTTATTCTAGCTATTTAAATGATTGGAGCATGATATTTAGGTTCTGTAGTGAATACCTAATGTTGGTATATGTATGAGTTTATACAAATGCATATACTGGAGGATGGTTGTTGATTATATAGTGTTATTTTAATAACTATGTTATAATGAAGGATTGTGTGTACCGGTATGGGACGGTGACAACTAAGTATGGATTAGTCAAACACTAAATCCTACCTAATTTGGATTAAGGTATGGATTAACCCTATGAGTTAAGTCCATCACCTACTTGTGTCATATCAATCAAATAATTGAATGACTTAATATGGTTTCAGGATGGATTTGCTTTACATTTATCAAACCACTTTTCAGATGGTTGATATTTTGTAATAGGAGGACACGGACTTTATATATTTATTATATGTGCCATGGTATGAGCTTGAGTCTCAGGACCATGGTTAGGGTGCGTATACTGCCTAGGATGGATAGCTGGACAGAGGTGTTGTTCCCTGGTAGGTCTAGATACACATGACCACAGTATGTGCGATTTGCATGGTATCTCTATTCAGGCTGAGACAGACCTTTTTGGACTAGTGAGCGTCCTATAGTGTGTACTTATACATATATGGACTACTCTAGATATTGTTGAGTCTTTCTAGTATGTATCTGCGTATCGGATTCCTGTTTGGATTGTAGTAGATCAGGACTTGCATGTGGGCCTGACCCACCTTTATATTTTTCAGGTACTCGTCAGTTCCAGGGTTAGAGTTTGATCGTGCAGAGCAGATACAGACTTCTATTCTACCAACAACATAGGACTTCTTTCCAGATATTAGATTTGGATTTTATCTTCAGTTTTCTTTCATGCAGTTTGGGATTTTATTAGGGGTTCACTAGAGATGGATTCCCGAGTTGTTAAACTTATGGAGTTTGGATTGTCAAGATTTAAATATTTATATTTGAGGATTTATTTTAGTTTCTTTCCGCTCATTATATTATTTCTTTAATCACTTTGTATTCCGTGTTCGTTTTTAAAATATTAATTGTCTAATATCCCTCGGATTTGGCCTTGGGCCTGATCAACCCGTGTCTCGGATCCGAGGGGTATCACACTGACTCCAAAAATCAATGCAATAACAACATGTCTCAAAACAAACGTGAGCCCTTACCACAATGGTAAGACTCTTACAATCCATCTCTGAAACTAAGGATGACACTACAAGTGACACTAACAATGCAATGCTCTTTCTACCTGAAGCATCTATTAATCGACTTGATCCCAAAAGCGTCATCGCGCAAGGAGAACTCAAAGAAAATGGCAATTATAGCCATACCAACAACAACCAAATCAATCACCACGAATGATCTCCAAAACAACCATCATCATCACCAATCAAAGGACAACGCCTATCAAAACAAAACTAACACTGATTCCATCAGAACTGCGCTTGTTGCTAGCCAGCACGGTAGCATGACAGTGCTATGCACCTGCCCACAAACGTATCCGCCCATGAAAAATGCAAGTTCTACAGGAATATTCCTGGACAATCAAGGATCCTAAGAGGTTTATAACCTCATAATGGCCCAAAACCAACAAATCCACCACTACGGTAACGCCAAATGACTCATTTCACAAGAGCCTAAACAAAAGGTGACCATCCACCTACCTTAAAACCAATACTAGGTCGATAACAACCTATACTACCACGAAACTGTGACTACAATCACTATCAACCTC